GTTACCCCTGACAGAATTACTGTCACACCTGTGGTTCAAGTGGTCACACAACCATTCATTGATGAGATTCCAGTCTCCGGAGACGAGCAGACGGTAGACTCTCCTGTGAAGGAATATACTATGCCTGTAGATGAAATGAGAGCAGGATCTCCCGAGGAGGAGGCTGTAGTACCTTATGAAGAGAGGGCAGAATCTCCTGAGAAGGAGGCTGAAATACCTGTTGAGGAAGAGAGGGCAGAATCTCCTGAGAAGGTTCTAGTACCTGAAGAGGAGAAGTTGGTTGAATCTCCTGAGAAGGAGATTGTACTAGCTGAACAAGAAGAGAGACCAGAATCTCCCGAGAAAGAGACTGTAATACCTGTAGAGGAAGAGTTGGTAGAACCCCCTGAGAAGGAGGTTGTAGTAGCGGAAGAGGAGGAAAGGGCAGAATCTCCTGAGAAGGTGGCTGTAGTACCTGAACAAGATGAAAGCACAGAATCTCCCAGCAAGGAGAGTGAAGTTATCCCTGACAGAATTACTGTCACACCTGTGTTTCAAGTGATCACACAACCATCCATTGATGAGATTCCAGTCTCCGGAGACGAGCAGGCAGTAGACTCTCCTGTGAAGGAATATACTATGCCTGTAGATGAAAGGAGAGCAGGATCTCCCGAGGAGGAGGCTGTAGTACCTTATGAAGAGAGAGCAGAATCTCCTGAGAAGCTTCTAGTACCTGAAGAGGAGAAGTTGGTTGAATCTCCTGAGAAGGAGATTGTACTAGCTGAACAAGAAGAGAGACCAGAATCTCCTGAGAAAGAGACTGTAGTACCTGTAGAGGAAGAGAGGGCAGAATCTCATAAGAAGGAGGCTGTCGTACCTAAAGAGGAAGAAGGGGTAGAATCTCATGAGAAGGAGGCTGTACCACCTAAAGAAGAGGAGTGGGTAGAATCACCGGTGAGGAAGGATGTAGTACATAAAGAGAAGGAGAGGGCAGAATTTCCTGACGAGGTTCTAAAGGCTGACGGTAAAGAGACTGCAGAATCTTCGACAAGGGAAGCTATAGTACCTGAACAGGAGGCGAGACCAGAATCTCTTGAGGAGAGAGTAGCAGCTAAAGAAGAAGAGAGGGTGGAATCTTCTGAGAAGGGGGTTGTAGTACCTGAAGAGGGACGAAGGGCAGAATCTCCTGAAATGGCGGCTGTGGTAGCTGAAGAGGAAGAGAGGATAGAAAGGCCTGAGAAAGATGTTGTAATACCGGAAGTCGCAGGCGTCAGTAGTATGGAATCTCCTGCAAACAGGTCCTGAAGAGAAACCAAGAGCAAAAATCTCCCCGAAGTGAGGATGTAGCACCTGTAGAACAAGAGAGAGTAGAAATCTCGGAGAGGAGGCTGTAGCATCTTGTAGAGGAAAAGAGGGTAGAATCATTACAAACAACCATAAATGAGTCGCCTGAGCAAGAAGTGGTAAGGATAGTAGTGAAGCTAAGGAGTTAGCCACGAGGAACCTGAAATTTGGCAATGATCTGTGGTTAAAATCTGTTGAGGGTCAGTTACTTGACAAAGGAGATAAAGAACCTGAAATTGAACAACATGCAAAGAAGAACTTGTCGTTATAAGTAAGCCAGAAAGTGAAGAAAGAGATAGTGACAAAAATGTTAGTGCAGATGCTGGTGGTGATGGAGGTAGGAAGGTAGTCCCCGATGTATTTCAGAAATTAGAATCGCCAGAGCAAGAGAAAATAAAGTCAGAGCAGGACGCCATGCACGTGCTGTGAAGATGGCAAGGAGGAAACAGATGGATTCTGGGATAAGTCAGTAGAAGATC